TTATTCTTGTTTTCCCCTCTATAATATCAGAGGATAAGGCTTCATTTCTAGATTGGACATAAAAATAACTTTTTGAACACATAATCTCAGGGAGTAAGTACCTTGAGGACTGTCTTCCAATATAAAATGACCAGAAGTATATCTAATAATAGATGAGTCTGCTATAAGGTATTCACTTCATTTTACATATCAGTGACCATAAAGTCAAAGGCCGTTTTATTCAGCTAACTTACCAGTAAACTTAGATACATTATGATTGGCATCTTTCAATATTAGGTTAAATTGGAACCAGCTACAATATACAGGGGGAGGGATGTTTAAAACAAAATATTTTAAAGGCTGTCCATATGCTACAATGCATGTTTTTCCCAATTGTCCGTGGATGGCAATTTTAATGTTCCAGACTAAGCTCAATATACAGGCAAGAATGATTGCAAAAAAATCTCTGCTTTTCAAGTAAGCTAAAGTAAAAGTATCATATACTCAGGAGCATTTGCACACAATTTTGGTGTTAATAACGTCCTCTTTAATTTGCCAAGGTAGTCCTTGCTGTTTGGATGCTACATGTTAGTTTTGTACAACCCAGAACCACTCTGGATCAGTCTTATTTGATGAGTTAGAAGTGGCAGCAAAATCTTATCTGGCCTTTTCAGCAAGCCTCAGTGAAGCTCAAACTATGGCGATAATGAATGAGTGGGAGCCAGGCCAATAGGCTCACAGCTGGGATGAGAAGTATAGGAGCTATGGTGAGCTCATTCATGTTTTACTATTAGCTTGGGTGGAGGGGGGAAGCAGAGAAACCTGATTTGTCAAATTTGCCAATTCCTGTGGTGTAAATGCTTCAACTTTGGCTGATTTCAAGCTACCAATGGTTTAATAACCTGTTCACAACATTCCTGAAAATAACAGTCAGCTCCCATAAGCTTGTATGAGCCAACTCCCGCGTATTAATAAGATAAAGTATGGAGGAAGGGACGAGAGGATCCTTAACCCACGCCATGCCAACAAAGAGGGCTGAGAAAGGAGATTTCCCTCAAGTCCAAGAGTCAGCCAAAAAGAGATAGGGATTTATTGTATTCTTTAAGTTGCAGAGGTTAGATCTCTACTACCAAGCAATATAACCCCCTTTCTCCATTTCCTGTGAACTAATCGGCAAGTTCTACATTGATCACTATTGATGGAGCCCAAAAAGGAAGATGGGTATAGTTAATGTATGCATTACTCATGGAAAAAGGGGGTAGTAGTTTAACAGGACACACACACACACATACACACACACACGTATGCATGCCTTTAATACTAAGAAACTGGGAAATTAAGAAGGGTGAATTGGATTACCGGACTGAGAAAATTGACTAATGAGCTATTAGCTCTAATGTGAGAATTCTCAAGTGATAGATACATGGAAGGAGGGCTGGGCTTTAAATAGGGAGATTTGTAAATAGGAAAAGTCAGTGGAAGTCAGTACTGAGGGAATTTTTAAGTGGAAACCATAATCCAAGCTTTGAGCTTATTCAGAGTAGTTTATGACCTCATTACATGTTGTATTTATATTTGAACATGCATTTCCAGGCTGGGCACAGTGACTCAGGCCTGTAATCCCAGCACTTTGGGAGGCTGAGGCGGGCGGATCACAAGGTCAGGAGTTCGAGATCAGCCTGACCAACATGGTGAAACTTCGTCTCTATGAGAAATACAAAAATTAGCCAGGCACGGGGATGTGTGCCTGTAATCCCAGCTACTCAGGAGACTGAGGCAGGAGAATAGCTTGAACCGGGGAGGCGGAGGTTGCAGTGAGCCGAGATCACGCCACTGCACTCCAGCCTGGGCAACAGAGCAAGATTCCATCTCTAAATAAATAAATAAATAAAATGTATTTCCTAGGTTAACAAAAACAAATCAGCATGTCGTATGGATTGTGCTGGGCCAGAAATGGTCAGTCCTCAAAGTCCTGAGGGGAAGGGACAGACTGAGAAACCAACATGTAAACTCACAATTAAATTTAACGTGAGAGAGGCTATTATAGTAATGTTGGTCAAAGCAGTCTGAGAGCTCATAGGAGGGTAGCAACTTATTAGCTATCCAGGGAACTCTTTAAAAAAGCATATCAATTTAAATATACTCTAGGTTCATAATAAATCATTTTTCAAATTTTAAATATTTGATCCTTAAAAACGGCTGATATATAATGCTTATTATCTTAGTTATAGCATCATGGAAAATACAATTTTTAGTTTAGTAATAAACATTTAAAAGTTTTTTGAGGAGTAATGTTCAATGAACTTCAACTTAAGTGTATAATTTATCAAGTGTTGGCATATGTATACATCATTTCCACGATCATTAGATGATTATGACATCTCTGAATAAAGATAGTTTTACTATTTCCTTTTTAATCTGGATGGCTTTATTTCCATTTCTTCTCTATTGCATTGGTTGGACCTCTAATACAATGTGGAATAGAGATGGTAAAAGTGGACACGCTTGTCTTTTTCCTGATTGTAGGGGGAAAGCATTCATCATTCAGTCTTTCACCATTAAGTATGATCCTAGCCATAGGTGTTTTTGTAAAATGTGCTTATCAAATTGGAAATTCTGTTTTTCACTAAATTTTGTGAAAGTTTTCGTCATTGCTGAATGTTGGATCAGGTCAAATCCTTTTGTGTGCTGAGATTATTATTTGTGGTTTTTTTTTATTCTGTTAATATGGTGAGCTGCCTTGATTGATTTTAAAATAAACCAAATTCCTGATATACACCTCAGTTGGTCACAGTGCTTTATCCTTTCTTCATGTCGTTGGATTCAATTCAATTATATTTTGTTGAGGATTTTTTGCATCTATCTTTATAAGAAATTCTAGCCTTTTTTTTTTTTTTTTTGAATATTTTTTCCTTATTTTTGTATCAGGGTAACCCTGTTCTCATATAGTGAGTTGGGAAGTGTCTTACTCCCTTCAATTTTCTAGAAGACTTTGCATACAATTGATATTAGTATTCCTTAAATGTTTGATAAAATTATTCAGTGAAGCCATTTGGGCCTAGTGTTTTGTTTGTTTTTTTTGCAGGAAGAATTTTAATTACAAAATCAATTGTATTAATGGGCTATAGGACTATTTGTTATCAATTTCTTCTTGAGTGGCCTTTGGTAGTTTGTGTCTTTCAACACATATATCCATTGCATCTAAGTCACCAACTTTGGCATAAAGTTGTTATACTTTTAATGTTTTAAGGATTCTTAGCACTCCATCCTCTCTCATTTCTGGTACTGGTCATTTGTATCTTCTCTCACTTTTTTCTAATCAGTGTGGCAAGAGTTTTATCAATTTTATTGATATTTTCGAAGAACGAGTTTTTGATCGCATTGAATTTTAAAGATTTTATCAATTTCTACTCTAATCTCATTTTTTTCATTAATATTCTTTGCTTGGAAATATTATTTTCTTGTAATAATATTCCTTGCTCAGAAATATACTATGAATATAGCCCTTCTAACTTTGTTTTAATGATTCTTATCTTTTTACTTTTATTTGCTTATTTATATAAAATATGTTTCATGTAGACAACATGTGGATTGGTTGATTCTTCTCCTCCTCCTCCTCCTCTTCCTCCTCCTTCTTCTTCTTCTTCTTCCTCTGCTTCTGCTTCTGCTTCTTCCTCTTCTTCCCTTCTTCTTCCTCTTCTTCTTCCTCTTCCTCTTCTTCTTCTTCATCTTCTTCTCCCAGTTTGACATTTTTTGCCTTTTAATTGGTATGCCTAGATCATTTATATTTGTTGAGATTAGTCACACAGTTGGGCCTAAATCTGCCATCTTGCTGTTTGTTCTCTACCTGTTCTTTGTTCCCTTCCCTCTTTTTCTGCCTTCCTTTGGATTGAGTATTTTTATGATAACATTTTTATGATTTTGTTTGGTTTTGCTGGTTGTTTTAGGTGAAGAGTATTCATCTTTTTCATATTGCTGTCAGTTGTCAAATGATTTATATCACTTCAATTTCCACTTCCCCGCCTCCACCTCTTTCTGGCTTTTGTTCTGTAGTTGTCATGCATTTATGGCTACATATATAACCCCACCTCAAATATTATTATAGTCACTTTAAACAATTATCTTTCAAGAAGACTTAGAAAAATAAGAAAAAGTCTTTCGTATGTATTTTCATATTTTACATTCCCAGTACTCTTCATCATGTTCTGTCAACCTAGATATCAGTCTGGTTTCATTTTTCTTCTCCATTATGTCTTCAACATATATTCTATCTCATTGTTGTAGAGCCTTTGATCACTAGTAGCTGGCAACTAATGAATAAGTTACTAATTGAAATAAAGTTTAAGAGTTTTCTCACTCAAAGGGATATTTGCATTTCAAATGAGAACACAAAGACTAAAGGATATTCTGTGCTTTATAAATTAATACTTAATGGTGGAATTTCACATAGGGAGAGATCTACTGGGGACTGGGATCCTGCTCAGTGCTTCTCAAACTATACCACTCTAGCTATAGATTTTTATGTCAATAAACTTCTCTCTCAACAGTTCAATCCGGGTGTTGAATGTACAGTTCAAAATTATAACTTAGTATAATTATTTGGAGGAAATTTTTGTCTATACATTCCAAGGTAAATATGTGAACTTAGAGTCTGAAAAAAATCTATTGAGTATGTATTTATGGCAAACATCTATAAAACATCTATAAAGATATATTTATTTGTCAATTATTTCAAGCCAAGGTGCAATGTCCATAAGATATATATGTGAGTTGGTGTGTTGTCATGGTTTTTAATACTACACTTGGCTTATGATATGTGCAAGTTATAAATCCCTAAACCAGCATAATAATCATTTACAAATTGTATTTTCTCAGTGTTTTGAAGTATGATTTTAATTATTTCTACCTCATCTTGTATCAAAAAATATTTAGACTAAATTGAGTAGATTATAAAAGTATCTTCTAAGAACACTCACATATGAGATCATTATTTTCTAATTATATTGACATTTAATTTTTAGGTATTCAGAGAACGACTACCTTCAGATTATCACAGATATACAGAGTTGTCCATGGAAACGGCAAGCAGAAGAATATGCAAATTTTAGGTAATTTTTTTCATAAATAATATGAGATTTTAAAAATGTCTTGTTCATTTGCTTTGTAGAGAAATAGGCAATATGTTATTAAAAAGAGAAGTAGAACCAACCCCAGCTGGCAATGAGGCCGACTGAATTCTAAGACCCTGTCATGAGCCACAGGGCATTCCATCTCCATCTCTTGTGTAGAAATTTGCATTATGGCACTGTTTTAATTACAGGAAATGCCAAATTCAAAAGAAAGATTTTATTATGTTTTTAAGTTATATTTTAGAAGATGTTGTGATTTTTGGTACCACTGATATTTGGTATTTATTTATTTAGTAAATAAAATATCATAGTATTAAAGAATGTTTGGAAAACATAATAATCTATAATCCCATCACTTTAGAACAACAACTTTTGTTTCTTCCAGTTTTTCTTCATTCACTTTTTAACACAAGTGACATTCATGGGCGTGAGTTGCTCTAAGTAATAACCCAGAGAGGAGGTGTCACTTGACCATTATAGGGCTGTGGTTGGAGAACTTGTAGCCCATCCAGACAGAAATTAACTTTGTCAAAGCAATATGCAGTGAGAGAGCATCAATACTTATCTAATAGTTCTTACTCACCATACCTCCACATATCATAAATCAAGGTCAGTTGTCTCTGTGCTTGCTTGGTCTGGATTGTTCTGGTTTTTGTTTGAGGGAGGCTTGTTTTCTTTTTTTCTCCTCCTCCTTCCTCTTCATCTTCTTCTTCTTTCTTCTTTCTCTTCTTTCCTCCTCCTCCTTCTTTTTCCTCTTCCTCTTCTTTTCTTCTTTCTTCTTTCCTCCTCCTCCTTATTCTTTTTCTTCTCCTTCCTTCCTTCCTTCCTTCCTTCCTTCCTTCCTTCCTTCCTTCCTTCCTTCCTTCCTCCCTTCCTCCCTTCCTCCCTCCTTCCCTCCCTCTCCTCCTCCTGCTTCTTCTTCCTCCTCTTCCTTTCTTCCTCCTTTTCCTCCTTTTTTTCCCACATTCTGATTCTTTCCTGTACATACCATTCCAATTTTGTCCTATGCCAAATTATTTTATCTTATTACAATCCAGAGACATGTCTTTATCTTTACTCATTATTTTCAAAGTTTACTTGAAGCATTAAACTTGTAAAAAATATTACTAAAGAGACTTTGTTTTCCCCTAAAATACTCTTAAGAAATATCTGCAGTATGGTTCTCTTTTTTTATATGGGAAGGCAGCTCTTCTTGTTTGCCTTATGTAGTGGCTCTGCCTGTTCCTTCTTTAGCAGAATATGCTGGTATGATTGGACCAACTGCCTTTGATTCTGCTGTCAATGTGAGGAGGGTTCTGCTCCACCCCCAGTAGGTGAAAGAGTACCTTCCTGGTGGTGTCAAAGCTAACAATGGGTATCTTCCCTCCACTGGGTAGACACATGGATATCATGACTTCCTGCAGGATACCATTAAATGTCTTTCCAACCTGATATTTTAGAAAGAGAGGCTGGAAAGGGGGTTCCTGTTTATTTCATTTCCAGGACGTTTTATGCCAAATCCAATCTATTTAAGACTGGATTTGAGAGGTCCTGGTGGCAGGAAGATGAGATTGAAAATTGCACAATCATAACCTAAATGATCACAGGGTCAGCAAGTGATAACAGAGTCTGATTTTCTGCATATACAGAATAGACAAGAAGAGGGAGAGATGTAGGTCATGAGCTACTGAGGATCAATCTAAGATAATTAGCTGGAAAGATAGATTTGTAATGATCCAAGTAGGGAGTATAGGAGCTTTTACTTGTGGCTGTTAAGTTGAGACCAAGCCTCCTGAGAGTAATGAAAATAAAACAAAATATACCAAACACCTGTGTGAGGACACTGGAGCGCCACCAAGGCAGGGAGAATTTAAAGGACTAAAGCCCAGAAGGTGAAGGGAACCCATCAATTTGGGCTGGTTTTTCTTATAAAGAACTTGCCGAATACAAAAGCAAAATTTGGCTGAGAGGCAGAGAAGCTGAGCAGAGCTTCCAGCAATCCCTGGAAAAAACAGTTTTCAAAAGAACTGAAGACCAACTTTGAATCCCTGGAAAACCCAGTTTTTAAAATAACTCAAGGGGCTGGGCGCGGTGGCTCACACCTGTATTCCCAGCACCTTAGGAGGCCAAGGAGGCGAGTGGATCACCTGAGGTCAGGAGATCAAGAGCAATCTGACCAACATGGTGAAACCCCATCTCTACTAAAAATACAAAAAAAAAAAAAAAAAAAAATTAGCCAAAAGTGGTGGCATGCACTTGTAATCCCAGCTACTCAGGAGGCTGAGGCAGGAGAATCGCTTGAACCCGGGAGGCAGAGGTTGCAGATCACGCCATTGCACTCTAGCCTGGATGATATGACAGAGCAAGACTCCATCTCAAAAAAAAAAGAACTGAAGGCCAACTTCGAATCATTTCCATTCTGAGTTGGATTTAGATCTGCCCTTAGCTTAGATGCCTGATAAAAGCAGAAGGAAATCCCCTTCTTGGGGATTCTTTTGGGGGAAGGTAACCCAAGAACAGGCACAGACACATTTATTTATTGACTTGAATATTTATTATATTGTAATGTTCTTTTTATGGGCATATTTCTAAACTAAATTATAGAAACCCTCAACAGAAATCTATGCAATTAAATCATAATAAACCACCTACTTTCCTAAATTTTTAACAATATAGCTAGCCAAATCTGGGGAATCTCTGGCTTGTTTATAAAGCCGGTATTATAGATATGTTCCCTGTAATTATAGATGTCAGGTAGTTAAATTATTTTTAATTTTATTTACTTCGAGTATTTTATACCAACCAAATTGAAGAACAGTAGAATGTGAGTTTTTAAAATGTGGTAATTTTTAAACAGCAATTACAAAAGTTACATTAAATTTGGAAGAATACAAACAAGTCAACATATTTTAAACTCATCTGCAACCCGATTTTTGAAACTTCCAACTGTTGACACCTAGGGATTATTTGAAAATTATAGGACTCCTGTGGTCAAATGATCTAACAATTAGAGAGCTTAAAAGTTATTTTTCTTAAATAAATATGTCACTTGCTATCAAAAAAGATAAAGTTTACTCAGCCACAAATATTTAAGATTTACTAAGTCAGAGCACTGTAGCCTTTTTTCATGCCTGGTAGAGTGCTGGGCACAAAAAGGGCCTCAATAAAAAAAATATATTAAAGAAATGGATGCATGAAAGTAAACAAAAGAAGTGTAATGTTTTCTTACTGAACTTGAAGAACTTATAGTCACTTTAGAAAGACAAGAAATATAAATATGAATATTTATGATTGAATAGCAGAATGAGTGATTTAGACAAATACTGTGATATACTAATGCAAGAGCACTGTGGGATATAGTTTTGTGAAATGTTTTGTGAAAAGAGGCAGAACTTAAGCTATAGCTCCAAAGGTGGCTAGAAAGGGAGGGTGAGACCAATTTGGGGCTGATGAGGCCAGGAAGAAAGGCCAATAAGTTTCAAGGCCAGTTGGGCTGGAGCAATGAACTTGTACTATTAGGCACGCAAGGTAAAGGGGATAATTTCAGGTAGACAAGGAAGGAGCTGATGCACGGAGATCTGGTTATCAGAGTAAAGTCCACAGACATTCTGTAGATACCAGGAGCCCAAGAGGAATATTGCTAGCAAAGGAATTACAAATTGAATTTATTGTTTTAGAGAAAGTATTCGGACAGCATAATGAATGAAAGCAAGTTGGAGTATTAGGAGGGAGGGGTAGTGTAGAAAAATCAGAGCAGGTAGGGGCTGGTTGTAGACAAGTAACTACAGAATGTTGACCACCTACAACATCAATGGTAGTTATGAAAATATTAAGAGAGAGATGCTTCACTATGAACCCTTTGGGGACATGGCGAGATCTTGTTTATCTTTGTATCTCCAGTGCCTATCACATAGATGGTACCCAATAAATTGCTCCGTGACTGAAGACTTGGTAGGACTTGGTTACTTGTTGACTTCCAGTTCTCTCGTTGAAGGAGAAGAAAAATAAAATCAAATGAGAAATCTTGCATCTGAAATACTCATGCTGCTACTGACAGATAGAAAGATTTCAAAGAGAAATTGGATAGAGAAGATGAAAGCATCTCGGACAGGATGTGTTTGAGCTGATTTTAGGACAACTGGATACAGAAGACCTTTTCCGTGGTCTGGAGAAAATATAAATGCTAAGAGAAAATGAATTCTCTCAAAAAAGAAAAGCAACTGCAGTTTACATCTGGCTTTTGTAAGAAATAGGGCTTCTCCAAGTCTATCTTCTCAGCAATTTTAACTTTCTTTTTGTGCTTCGGGGGGCTTTGTCCTCTTTTTACAGATTCCTAAGCTTTTACTCCTTTAACACTGAGAACTTGGCAGCTTGGTGCTTGAGTCTCAAACTTCCTTCAGCTTTTACCTGGAAATATGAGAGGCTTAACTAGGAAGATTCTTAATCTGAAGTTCATGAAAGTGGTTTCCTAAAACTCTCGAAATTGTTTGTGAGATTTTGTACGTGTTTCTGGGAAAAGAATCTGTGACTTTCATCAGATTCTCAGGGAGTCTAGGACCTTCCACATGGACTAATGTATTTCTAAGGATCTTTCTGACCCTGAGACTCTGTTTGGGATTCAATTGCCTTTTTCACTTTCCGTGATGGCGTGATTATCCCAAGCATAGGTGTGAGTCTGGCTCAGATTTACCTGAAATTTACCAGAGATTCTAAGTTTCCGCTATGAATCTGCATTTTGTGAGATACTAGTTGAATACTGCATTTTGTGAGATACTCAGTTAGAGAGAGATTTAAGTAAGACTTGAAGATGTCCTGCTCTCTCTTCTTTCTTGGTATCTAATTTCTTTTAGTTGTAGCTGTACAAAGTCAACGATGTTGAGGTGTGTGCTTTTTCTGCTTTTAAAAATTTGATTGATTCTCCTATAAGAGGTCCCTACCCCCTTCCCTCCAAGGACAAGCTAATGCACAGAATAATTTGTGAAAAATCTACCTGGATTTCA